TCGTACGATACGNTTAAAACGACGTTGTAAGACGAGCCTGTACGCCTAATGAAGTTGGCTGGCCACTTCCTGCCCAACGTGGCCAGCACCACGTGCAGCTAGTAGCTTATCAGCCATATCACGTACGGCAGCGTAGGTAGGCGCAAATCCACGCTGATCTAGATCAAGTATATGGCTTATAATCACCTCCTCTTCTATCTGAGTAAGCTTTTTTGAGTTGGGCTGGCAATCGCGTCTCGCGCGCTTCCCAGCGCGTCGATCGCGTAACGTTGATTCAGGCACGTTAAAGATTGAAGCTGCGCGGCGGCCTGTTTGAATTTGATTAGAATCAAGAGATTGTATAGCAAGCTGAATATCTGATTCATTTGAGAGTAATTGAATAACGTGGCGTGGAGCCATGATAAAGGCAAGTGTAATAGAGTAAGAAAGTTGGTGAGGTGCGCGACTCGCTTGCCTGCGCGACTCGCTTATCCATCACGTTATCGTTTTTACCATACCTAAGGTTAATAAGAGAAAGTCTATATATAAAGAAGAGGTAGTAGCATTATAAAAGCACGCCGAAGCGTTACGCCTACTCTACTAACCTAATATTAAAAGCTATGCAACTACCTATAACTTGCCATATTAGCGCCTACGACGCGCCTATCTTAGACTTCTAAATCACTGTAATCACGCTAAGCCACCTACTTTATACCGGCTTAATGTAACGATGTTATAACTTCGCCATGTATCGGACCAATCCCAGAGCCGGATCGGAGGTAGTACTCGCCGCCCTCTTCATCAACCACTCGTTGTGAGGTCGGATCCGATTCGGATCCGACTAAGATAAGTATATAAGGAGACACTCCCTGTAGCTAGCTCTGTAGACTTTTAATATCCTTTCGTACAAGGCCTATAGATGTCTATTTGAATTAAGGCTCGTTTAATGTCCCACGCACTCCTATATGCCTCTGAGTGATACTACCGCTGATACTAATCTAAGTAGTCTTGCCTGCGCCGTTATATTATATTAAAAGTCTCGTTCTAGCTGGTAACGGCTTTAAAATAATATCGCAGCTGTCTATTCAGACTACGTCCAACCTTAAGTTATCTAGCACCGATCTAGATACTTACACCATCACATCTAACATTCACCTAGGTAGAATCCTACTAATCTCCTACCGGCCGAAGCCTTTAGATTTAGAACTTCTACGCTCCTCGTAAGGCAGATTATTTCAGTAAAAGTCGCGTAGAGTGCGCTACAGTAGAGACTTAGAGACTACTAATAACCTATTAACCTTAGAGGCAATCGCTAATAGTTAACCTACTAAAACTTAGTAGTTCTAAGAAACTACCTCAGAAATTAGTCTAACTCTAGAACTAAACTATCTTAGAGAAGAAAGCTAGTAAGCTACTAATTTAAGAATCTCTAAAGACTTTATCTCTATAAGAAGAAGAAGAAAATAAAGATAAGAAGAATTTAGTACTAGTACTAACTATAAGAGATCTCTATAGATAGATAGCTAGCTTAGTTAACTAAGTCTACTAACTAACCTAAGAAAACGCTAAGCTATAGAGTAACGTAGTTCTTACTACTAAATCTCTACTAATATTAGCTAAACTACCTTCCCGCTAATTACTAAGATACACTTCTGCCACCCCTAAGCCTCTACGTGTTAAACTAAGCTATCTTATCTTATTCTCTATTAGCTAATTAAGTAATAAGAAAGATCCCATCTTTCCCTAGTAGTAAGCTAAAGTAGAAGACTAACTTA